ACGCGACTTAATAGATCAACTACCGCATGAGGGTTACCTTGAACGATGGCCGCCAGATGACCGGACAGATGCTTGCATTTGACAAGGTGCGCAACCCAATTTTACCCTCAATCGCGTCTCTACAATCATGCTGACAATCTGTACAGCACATGAACCTCGTCCTCGCCGATACCGAAGAGTTCAGACGCGTCAAGATCAGACAGAACAAGCCTGCCGCCCCTGGCGCTAGCTCCAGCTCCGGCCAAACGATCGAGAAGGAGGAGAAGAGAACCCTCGGCCTGACGATTGTCCGCGGCGCACACATTGTCTCCCTGTCAGTGGAATCAGAGCCGCCCGCGGACCCCAGTGCACGACTTGGAAAGAGCGCGCCTGGCGGAATTTCGGCCGGTCTCACCGCTGGTCCTGGTGTTGCGCGACCCGCCGGCCGCGGCGCCGCCCCGGCTCCCCCATCACTGGCCGTTAGTACCCCACTATTCTCTGCTCATGAGCTTCGGACGCTGACTTTTGACGTAGGGCCCTGCTGCTGGCGTTGGAGGTGGTGCTCCTCCCGGATTCCCTGGTTTCCCTGGTGCCCCGCCCTTTGGTGGACGTGGTGGTGAGTATACATACCCCTCTGACCCGCGAATGCGCTTCTCACACTTTACAGCTCCTCCCCCGGGCTTCCCCGGTGCCTTCCCGCCCCCGGGCTTCCCTCAAAACGCCCCCTTCCCTCCTCCTGGTTTCAACCCTGGCCCTCCTGGCGGAGCCCCGGGCTTCAACCCTCCCCCGCGAAGATAGGCTACGGATAAAGATATCGATACCTCGCATGCTTTGTAGTTGGAGGATGGTTCACGGATACCATTGGCGTTTGGGGATGAATGTCAAGATTACGAACAAAAAAGAAATCGGGCAGAACAGGCACGTTGTTAATCGGCCTCCTCTCTACCCCTGAACAAGTCATAGGTCAACTTGCCAACCTATACGCGTTGGATTTGCGGAAAGAAATGGGCAGCATGGATTCATTCGACAGTTCTCCAAGTCACTTCGAGGAGGAGCATAGGTAACCGGCGATTGCTGTTATATCAATACCTAGGCAGCACAATATTCACCACAACGTACCACCTCATTGCCATCCCCCCAACCACTAATTCGGTTCTTCATGTTGATTTTGATGTGATTCCTGACTGCAGAATGGTGTCTTGGTGATCGCTGAGCTTCTTAGACGGTCAGATACTTAGTCAATTGCTGGCTGAACATAAACAGCCTATCAACAGCTCCCATCTGGCACAACTGTCGGGGATGGCGTTGAGCATATTTGAACAGACTTAGAAGAATATAGATGGAAACCTGGGGGCACTGAAAAGCGGGATCGGAATCTACCTTATGGGCACGGCATGTTCATCGGCACACTGCAGATGGGCTTCCCTTCCCGGAGCATCCGTTTGTTTGATGGCATATCCTCAAACTCATGCAGATCCGTGTGCAGAGATCAAATACCGCACATGACCAATTGGAAACTTACACATGAATGAGACTACGTTTGCTCTCGGCAAGCCTTGAAAGTCAATGATTTGCATTCTCATTCCTACACATGCTGCGAGATATTCCCCGTGACGCAACCTTTGCGAGAGGGCTATGGCGTCTATCTACCTTAGTTCGGGTAAGGTAGGCGAAGTAGGTTGGAAGGAGCGGGTGAGTGTTGACTGTGCCTTCCACCTGAATACCCAGGAAGCCCATATATACCCCTCCAAGCCCATTCCTGTCACCAGCCAGGAGGCGCCCGTCTAGGTCGACGTGTCAGGTCAAACTGGCTGGGTGGTGGAGTGGTTAATGGTCAACAATTGAATTCTTCACCAACCAGCCTACTCGACGACAGGCTCAGCGCATACGAGAGTACCCGAGTTTGAATCCCAGCATGAGCACCAAGAGATGTAGCCCCCAGTCCAGCACCGGGGCGGTGAACTCTTATTTGGTCTTCTCTACATGTTGACGCTTACCTCATGCGACTACCTCAGAGTAACGTTTGCCCCTTCCTAGCTAAATGTTTGGTGAAGGAGCGGTCGTTGCCCTTGCCTGTCTTGCAAACGGCAGGTGCGTGATCCCGTCGTCTACATGAGGTACATCCCTACCTGCCTGCTTCAACTCTTCCACGCCGTCTCAGACTTTGCCGACTTCACTCCATTTCCTTTCGCTCCTACCTTGTGATTCCTTGTTTGCGAGGACCTTCTCGCACCTGAATCATCACATCCTACGGTCTGGTCACCTTCAGGATCTCAAATCGTTGGTCTATTCGTCCTTCCAGAAAGACCTTCTAACCTAAACATGGGTCGTTGGGGATTGCGTATGCTGTCCTGCCCTCTCCTCTCTTATTCTCTGCTGAACAATGATACATCAGGTCTTTCCGAGGGCGACAAGGATCTTGACATCGTCGCCGCCATCAGAAAAACTCTCGGCGATGGTCCTGAGAAGCTTGATCTCTATCTCATGATCAATAAGACTGACATGGTTGCTCCTGTGCAGACGAGAGAGTGCTACAAAACTGAGGAACATGCACAATTCCTCCGCGGTTTCGTCACAGAAATCCGAGGACGGCTTGACTCCGGAGTCGGCGACGAACTCTTCAAGAAGTATCGAGCCCTCGAACACGAGGATCAAGGCCAGTACCGAACCATTGTGGTCGGCGCCTTGATGATGCGTGGTGGAGCCAAGATCAAGGCAGACGACATGCAGCATCTACGCGACCTCGTTCCCAAGATACCTTGCCAATATCGCTTTGCCTTGCCGATGATGGACTTTGGTTTCCGTGACCCCGGAAAAGCGCAATTCCTTGCTGCACTCGACAACTATCAGCCGGGAACGCCTCGAGACTTTCACGAGCCAAGGTCAGTATAGCCGGATTGTCCATACGAGGCATCGACTGACAGCTTGGGCTTAGCTGCTCCCATTGCGGCAAGATTCACGCAGACCACGGTATCAACCTGAAGAAGTGCGGCCACTGCCAGGCTGCCTGGTACTGCGGCATCGTAAGTACTCAAGCTCGATGGGGTTCTTGGAAAAGTGAAGCTGAAATTTCCAAAGGACTGTCGAAGGACCCATCGCAAGATCCACAAGGCTTCGTGCAAGGCAATTTGGGAGAAGGTTCTTGCCAACGTCTAGGACCTGGTGATGAACAGACACCAGCCTTCACCACTTTGGCAATATCATACAGCTTGATCTTTCCTCGCGGTTAGCCATTCGGGTGGGTAGCATGAGTCGCCGGCATTGGGTTGGTGTGAGACGCGAAAGAAGATATGGAAGTAAACGCATCTTTCTCGGACAACTTTGGTCTAGGTGCTGGACTGAAATCGTCAGATGAGTTAGGCAGACAGGAGAAGATCCAAATGATACGGTTACAACCAAACACAACCAAACCATCGTATATTGACCCGTCTCGTAGTTGTTTGCTCAAGCTTTTGTCCCGAAGTGGCTGAGGGCTTCTGTGTAGTTCTTCGGAGTGGGGGTACGGAAAGATAGTCAGATAGCAATGGAAAGTCTTCAATGATGATCCCCGAGACTCTAATGACAGGAGAAATATCCCATAGTTGCTCTAGATCATCCCTTATGCCACTAAGGACCGGTCACTAAGCTCAAATGCTCGAGTCCCACGTGGAACACCCAACGAACTAATGACCTCGGTTCATCGCCCCAAAGACATTGGCGATTTTCCTTGCTCTAGGCCTGCGGCTCGTGGAACGCGGATGCAATAGAACAGAATGCCCAGCAACAGCAGCTTGATGTCTACGCCGAGATCTGTGAGTGAATTACCACATTGCTGTCTCGAAGAGTCTACATGTATAGGACTATATTGCCACGGTTGAAGATGGTTGTTGATTTACACAGGTTGATAAACGGCCAATTGGTCAAAGAAGAGGCTTCACACGTGGAAGGGCAATGAAATCATATCACCTCTTTGATCCAATCCCTCTACCATCAGGTAGAAAATCTTCAAGAAAGCAACTCGAGTCACTTCTCCATCGCACCCAACCCCAAAGTACAATGTGAGAACGAAGGGAACAGCAACGAGGTAGAGTACGCCCACCTGGAGAACCGGCCTTAGACGCATATACTCATCCCGGCATCGGCAAGGTTACCACCAATCACACATATATCATCGATTCACATGCCTGACGGAAGCTCTATAATCGAGCAAGTACCCCGACCACAAATAACATGATACTCATACACCACTCCAATATGGAGTACTCAACACGACTTTACATCTCGCTCGTTAAGCCAGCAGTCGACGTACGTAGTTTAACGTTCGTCACATTCTCAAAGGTCTGGTAAGCCCAAGATCAAAACATGCCGTCAAAGCTGCGTACGTCAACTTGTAATCTTAGTGATGAAAAGTCCGCTCGCCTCGGGCGTCAGTCAGACACCAGAATGCTTTACCTGGCACGCCTAAACTAATAGCTTCCAGGATGAAACGAAACGTCGGTTATCGAGCAAGACCAAACTAGCAAATGGTGAAATGCATGGTCGGTATCGCTTAAAGATATGAGAGACAGTTGACTCCTTCTTCCCCATCCCTTCCACTCCCTTGCCCGAGTCCCTGCCGAGCACAGCACAACGCTCGATAGTTCCTGTAAGTTCAACAATAAAACGTGGGAGAGGGAAAGGAAAACAAAACGATTTTCTTCTGTATGGCAAGACAAGGAGGTCCAAACGTTCAAACGTGGTTTCCAGGATTTAAATCGGGTAGATCATCCCTTTGCATCTATCCCGTCATCTAAAGCTTTCTCTCCCTGCGTAACTCGCCATCAACGGCCGCGGCGCCGGGGCACCGGGGGTATATTAAAACGTTGTCACTTTCATTTCCACAACTTTCTCTCACCTGCCTCCCTGTCACAGCACCCGCGCAAGATTGCATTGTCTCTCTTACTGACTTACTTACTCCATCCCAGAGCACGCGCCCGTTGGAACGGTTACCACTGCACAAACTTTTCCATTTTTGTCTCAGCTTGGGTCGCTTCGGTCGTCGACTACGCACTCCCTCCATGTGTAGGAGGGGAGCGATGGGTCAATGGTTTTGTGTATGTCTGGGGCTGGAACCCGCGTGGAGATGAAGACATTTTTCTGTTCAGTTGGTGTCGCATGTCGCGTGTTCGCGTGTCGTAGCTTCTAGAGGTCGTTGCTTACTAGCCGTCCCAGCTTGTCGGTTCCACGAGTGAGAGAACATGGATACGAGATCCGCTTGGAGCACATCTACCTCTGTGATACCAAGAATGGAGATCGCTTTTTTTTCCCGGCAGCAACCTCGTAGGCTCGAGTCGACGCCCTAGATCTCGAGATCTTGGCTACCTTCAACCGTTTATATGCCGGATAGAGACTCCCGTCCAGAATCGAGATATTAAAGAAGGTTGCTTTCCGACTAGGCGACGGAAATAGCCTGTGGCTTGTTAGTACGGCCGTCGTGGCCAAGAGCCGTACGTCCGTGAACCTCCGCTAGGTGATGAAAGATTCCGGAAAGGCTTCGACGGGAAGAGCACTAAGTCGACAGCGAAAGGGCCCAGACCTCAGGACCGACTACCCACCGCAGTCGGAAGCAGACGCCCAGTATCCCCAGCCACATCGGCCGCAGCGTACCTGCACCGACAGTGTGAAGGTCTCGCTGCTGCAAATGTCTGCAAGCAGATGGACACCATTGGGAGGGGCCGCGCCGTCATGCCTTCCCGGAAGCTGCACGACGGGGAAGCCGGTCTCGCCGGTGTTCAATTCTGGAGCAACATCTCGAGCATTAGGGTATCTGGACCGGAACGTTCCCGGACCCCGGTCGTGATCCCACGTTGTGAGCACGATGTAGGCGAGAGCTTGCTGCACCCCTTGCATCACCAGCTCTGCGTGGTGATGGAGGCCTGCCGCCACCGACATAGGCATTCGTCGTCATCCGGCACGGAGAGGCGACTTTCTGACTCGAAGGCTGCTAGGTACACACACATCCTGCTATGGTTTTTGCTTTTGAGAGGAATCGTTTTCCTGCTAATAAGCTTAGGAGAAACACGTTTGATGTCTCTCTTCTGGGGGCTTGGCCGATAGACAATCGACGAGAGCGGGTAGCTACAGCAGAGCTCATGGCTTTCAGGGTTGGAGGTGGTTTGCTTCCGATATTGCCAATCCAAATCAAAAGTGATGGCCCGAGATCGCTGCTACCCGTGCGTCACAGAGTGTCGAAAGGTGCCGAGAACGGTGATGTGCCTTCGGTAGTGATTGGCGATGAGATCGTGTGGCTTGCTCGGGAGGGTGTGGCTGTCTGATGGCCCGATTATGTACTTACTACGGCTGGCGACATCTGTGATTGAATGGGGAAATCTAGCCGTTCATGGTTAACTCGACAAGATATGACAAGAGATCGGATTGGCGAAAGTGTGGGAAGAACTTGCTAGGCTCATCCTCCGTGATACGAGAACAGCCAATGTGCTCTGGACACACAGTACGACTGCTATATGTTACGGCCGCCCGCAAGGACGCGAAAAACCTTGGACGACCGAAACCGTGGTAGTATTTGTGTAAGCTGAAGAGGAGACGAGCTGAAGAATTTGTAATGCCTGTCACGCGGGATAGAAGCTTATGGAGCCTGGCTTGCCTGGATAGACAGTCGTATTTGGCGATATGGCATTGATGCTTAGTCGCATCGCAGTCTTGTAAGCTTGTCGATCCATCCGTGGACCATATGCAATAATTGACGGCAGATGATCTGGTTATGTAGAGCGCAATGCCAACTGCTTCGGAACCAACGTCGCATCAAGTCTAGGAGCAAGCACTCTTTGAGTACCTTGGGCGGGAAGAAAGGCGATGAACAGCTGCAAGACTCGGCTAGCGACCTCCGCCAAGCTGGTTTACTGTCGTTGACTACTACGAAGTCATTTTTCCCTTTTCTGTCACGGGGAAGAATATTGACAGGGTCAGTACGCGTTTCAAGTGATTGGCAGTTGACATTGCGGATACAGTGGACAGGAAATATCGACTCGAACTCGCGAGTCGCGGACAGAAGTAAGTGATGCCCACGCTCGAAAAGTTGCATGACACGATGGCCAAGTTATCATGCCTCGTAGTCATTGCTTTTTCCTCTAGATGCTGGTTGCCTCGCACAACACCTACTATGCAGGTCTCAAGTCTAGCAGTAGGTATTGGAAACCCCATCTTTATCGGATGCACAACAGTACAGCCGCGGTGACTTTCGCCACGAGATACCTCAGAGGACACCATGTTGTTAGCCGCTGTGTAAAGTGTGCCATGGGTCTCTTTCCTGAAGTAATTTGCAGCACTTTTACACCTGCTTGGCCTCTTGTCGACAGCTTACGAAGGGCTCACCCAAAATCGGCGCCATTGGGTGGCTCACGAACTGGCTAAATCATTTGACCTGTGAGGGAGGTGGCAGAGGCGGTGTCCACACCGAAGTCGGAAAAGCAATCAGTCGAGACTGTGGCGTACCTTCGCTTGACGGCACTGCCATAACTAGTGCTTGTGTATTGGCTGACGCCGCCATGGCCAATCACCAGCCCTCATGATTTCTGGTATCTTCTCACTGACGACGGTCAATTGGATGAGCTTGCCCCTCTCAGGTCGAGCTACCTAGATACTTTGGCGACCGTCGACTTGCATCCGGAAGCGTGAGTACGGCGTCCGGAGGTATTGTCTCAGTCACCAGTGCGATGTTTCCGTACTGGAGCGGGTCTGCCCTGTGATCGAATGAGAATCCCGGAAACGGTAAAGCTGCTGATGAAAATCCACCGGAAAATCGTCCATTGATGAGAGGTCAGAGTCGGGATTGGGTGAAGGTATGCCAAAAGAACTGCCCATCGTGTGGTCGACAATGACCTGAGACCACCAAAGTGACTAGACCGCTTCCATTGTAAACTGACTTGAACCTCGAAAGCGGGCTTGACAGTAGGCGTGAGGCGACGACCCAACTTGCCAGCATCTGTCAGCTCTGGATCGTATCGTAGAGGAAGGACACGACGTTGTTTGTGTCACATGAGGTTGCGGTAGGCACGGGCTGTCGAGTCGCAACCGAAGAGCGGCTCCGACAAAGGTAGGTAGGTCCCTGTTGAAGACGAGCTCGGGCATTGGCATCAAGCTGCGGAATCCCGGTCAGCCAAAGAGTTGCGAGTTCTTGAAGAGTCTTCCAATCGGCCTTTGCGAGCAGAAGTTGCTTAACGACACCTATTCTAGGCGTTTCTTCCCATTGCTGTTGACGAATCCCCCCTTGCGCAAGACGCTGGTCAAGCTGGCCTGCCCCTTGCGTTTGGAAGTCCTCCCTAGACCCGCACTCACAACATGAATATGGCTTCGTGGCTCAAGGTCGCTGGTGTCACGGGCCGATCTACGAGTGGGGTGTCTTCCAGCCTAGTCGAACAGACGTTTAAAACCAAAAAGTTGAGAGATTTCTGTGACAAGAGCGGTTGGCTGTGCCCGTTCCGACATAGGACTAAATCCAGGGACTCCTCTGAGCAAGGATCTCTGACTAGAGAAAGGGGCGTTTTTTTTTTCCATTCGAGCCGATCAAGCTCTTGGATCTGAAGTCTAGACCCTGGGGCCGGGACGTTTCGCGGCCGTAGTCTCGTCTCGTCAAGAAATTCAAGCCATTGGTGGCTGGGCTGTCAACTAGGAGGAAAGTTCGTGACTGCATTCAGCAATGAAGGTTTATGACAACGTCCCAGCTAGGAAGCGGAGCTGAGGGAAGATTTGATATGGAGACGCTGCCGAGGGCCCAATTCTTAAAATCCAGTCGGGGAAAAGCAGCGCCGGAGGGTAAATTGCGTGTTGGGACGTTGATAGAAATGGGACGCTTCCGATGCCAGGGTGGCATCCCGGTGGATTTTCTCTGGGTCAACTTGGTGTTGCCATGTTGGAGACAACAAAGAATCGTCCACTCGGCCTTGACATCCGTACTTTGTAATGATACAGGAAAGCCTGGAAGTAGGGCATTGTGTAAGAAGATGCAAAGCTTCCTTCAACTGGCCTGCTTGCACCCTCATAGTGCTGGTTTATTGGCTCGATGCAGCACCCTGCGGTCATTGTGGCTGCAATGAGGACACTCATCTGATGTTGACAAGTTTTGCGTGTTCGCATTAGCGGCGGCGATCTTTTCGGTGATGCCCTCAGAGGGTTACAGGTAACAGAAGTAGCGCGGCTGCCAGGTCGGCCTCGAAATCGTTCGTCGTGTTGCCCTGGCTATGCAATGCGCCAATTATCTGCCAGGAATTTGCGCTCTGACGACAAAGCGAGTCGTGTCTGCGGGATCAACAGGCACGAGGTAGTGGAAAAGGTGACAGCCAGTGTTGAAGACGACGCTCGAGCCCGGTTGCATGCAAGCGAGAAAGGTTGCACAGGGTGCTGCTGTCAATATTTGACGGCGTTAAGTCCAAGCTTCCGTGATGGTGGAGAGAGCCGGGGTGAAGAGGTCGATCACAGCGGCATCATATCAAACTAGGCGCGGACTGGCACAATTCATGCCTGGGTCAAGCTGCCCGAAGTGTGCCTGAATCCGGGGGTGCAACTCTCAACGTCTCTGAAAGGCTCGCCAGATGTCGTGCATGGCGTTGCTTCACGGCGAATAGAGTGCGTAATCGTTTAAGAAAAGGCTTGTTCGGTGCCCAATACCTGGCGACATGGTAGAAAAGAGCTATGATGCGACGTAGGTATCGGTACCAAAGACTCCTGAGGTCTTTCTTTGAGTTGAGGCTATCTCATGTCATGCGTCTCGCATCTTGTCAGGATCGACCTCTGGTGGGTGGCGTCGAGGCTGTTTGCGACGAGAGACAAGACGTAACGGCCGTGATGGGTTTGATAGATGGCAGGAGTGGCTGGTGGATGTCGCTCTCCCCCGCCGACAGATGACAAGCAAACCTGCTCGATACTGACAAGGGAGGCCACTGTGTTACACAAAAAGACTCTGGTGACTGACGGAAGAGGGTCCGAATTCAGCCTCGAAGCTGCGGGAGTGATTGGCCCTCGGAAGGTCTAGCATGGACGACGGCTCGAGAGCCAGAGAGAGATTGGGGGACCACTGAGGAGCTGGCATTGTCAAGACGGTTGGTATATCCTGTTTTCGTGTTTAGGTGACGAAGATAGGGCGACGATGCGCGATGAAGGATCGGAGGGTCGTTTGGAGGGGATCGATCATATTGGCCCGGTAGTGGAATAAGAAACGAAACGAAACAAAATGATCAAAGAGGC